TAGAGACTTTGAATCCCACTTGGGCAGGCAGGAGATGCTTGAAGGTTGAGTCCAGAATGAGTAGAGATCAGTGTTTCCTCTTCCTTTAAAATCCCTCGGCTCCTAGCAGGGCGCTTCCCACATTTTAGGGAGCCCTAGAGTGTTTGTTAACGAAGGAACAGGCACATCGTCAGATCCAGACTAATGGTCGTAGGAAGTTGAAGGGGAGCTCTCTGGAGTTGAAGGTTACAAAGGAAGTTCCCTGGAGATGATGCATCTAGGGGCTGGCTGGGCTTTGGTTTTTTGGAGACGAGTGGGAGTTGAGAGAGCACTGCAGGGAGGAGCCCGTCCAGGTGCAGAGTGGGAGGCATGGCCCAGCTCCCTGCCTCTGTTCTCTGGTCGGGGGGTGGGAGGGGCTCGGGCACACCAACCTTGATAAAGAGTTTGGGACCAGGGGACAGATCAGGATGGATGGTGTGGAATAAACTGTTGGAGGATGTGGATTTTCAGGATGAGCGTTAGAATTTGCTCCAATATGTGATAGTGAGGTTTATACACAAATGACTGGAGGTAAGAATTGAAGGGGGAGTTTTTGGAAGTGAAGTCTGGCGTGGCTCTGTTCCCTCCCGGCGCCCTGCATCCCCCTCCCCAACCCCGACCAAACCGATCCACAGCCTGTCTGAACTACGATGCTCCACGGTCAGCTTCAGAAATTATCTTCCTCTAGAAATTCTTTCTTCTAATCCTGCCCCTTGTGTGGACACTCTGGTGGCTCCTGGCTGCTGGATGAGTAAAAAGAAAGGAAATCAAATAAAAAGTACTGGTCATGGCCTTCAAGGCTTTCAGGCTGTCTCTTCCTTTATCCACCTGTATCTTGTATTTCCTGACCACTGCTAGTTAGCTGTGTGTGTGTGTGTGTGTGTCTGCCTGTTTTTCTACCTATCCGTCTGACTGCCTGTCTGTCTGTCTGTCTAGTTAGTAAATGAAAGGCTCTCATCTGTCCCTGTCTCCTCGGGAAGCAGCTCCCCGTTTCTCCTGGCCAAACCAGCCCCACCCCAAACCTTGCTAAGGATTCACCTCCACTCTGAAATCTTTCTGGACTTTAACCAACCAGATTGAAGTCTCTCTGAGGTTTAGTTTCCTCACCTGTTAAAAAAAAAAAAAAAGGGACAGACGTTCCTTACCTCAAAGAACGGACTTGAGGATTCCAAGGGAACCTGCGTAGAGCATGGTGTCTTGTACAGAATGAGAGGAGCCTTTGCTCGCGCCAGCCAGCACCCATCCCCGGAGCCGGAAGCTCCCTGCTGCCGCTCTCTGTGGGCCAGGGCACCCTTCACTGGGGATGGGAGGGGCACACGTACCCTGGGTGTGCCTACATTGGGCCCTTTAAATGAAATACGGGGCTAAATGTGGAACGGAAATGTGCAGATGTGCATTAGAAGTGGGGTAAGGAAAACAGACAGCCAGACGTCAGAGAGGGGAGTGACAGTCCACTGGCGGGGCCTCCGAGGGAAGCGTTCACTGAAAAGGGGACATCAGCTGGAAAGCAGAGATTATTATGAGAGTTTCTCGGAGGTAATGACATGGTCTGTGAACCTCGAGGCCTGGTTCACCAGTGGCAGGGGCAGAGAGAGTACTTAATAAATATTGGTCAGATGAGTGTTTTGACCTCGAAAATACTTTTATTACTTGTCATTCAACTTCTGTAGCTGATGTAAAGGCAAAATTATTTAAACAAGAAACCTCTACTTGCCGTTGGAGGAATACAAATGAATTTTAACGTGGTGTTCAAAACCAGCCAAGGCTATTGAGGGCAAGGCGCTGAAACAGCGCCCTGAATCTGAATCACCGGTGGTGTAACCGTGTCAGGGTGGCAGGGCGTCTGGAGGTGGAAGAAGTCGTCTCGATGTTTTACCTGCACAAACAGGTGGAAGAAAGAGCAAACGCACAGACCCAAGTGTGTATATGTCATTTTGGTGCCGTTTGCTTGGTACTCTTGGGAAACATTTGGACATTTCATTCCTTATAGAAGATCATATTTTTTATTGTGATCAGATAAAAATAGTCATTATTTAAATTTTATTGGAAGTCCCCAGTCTGTCTGGAAGCTTTTAAGGGCAAGAAATCAATCCTAAAGTGTATAGAAATGACTCCATAAATGTTCTAGTGTCTTCATTTCTTCTTCCTCCTCTCTGCCTGTTTATACTGTAAGATTAATAAACTGCAGCATTTTAATGAGCTCTGACAGAATTATCTTCCGAGAGTCTAGGCTGTATGTTCCTTGGAGACATGTCAGTGAAGTTCCCAGTTTCTGGAAGGAAGTCTGTTCCTTATTAGCTGGGACAGCGAAGAGTGTGCCTGAGACGGGGAGGGGGGCGCACAGCTCAGCCCACCTGTGCCGGCTCGGCCCGGCCCCCCCTCCACCTTGCCATGGGGTAACCCCGGGACTTTCATTATGAGTGTCAGGCCGGTCTCCCCAGCGAGTCCCGATGGGCTGCTGTGTTGGTGTCCCTGGACGAGCAGCCCTGACACCTTCTAACCATCTGACAGTTAAGTAGCTGTTTCAGCTTGGATTGAGGAGTGGAGCTCCCTCTACCTGAGCGTGAAGCCAAGAGCACGTGTCTTCTTTCATGTTCATAGTTTTAAAAATTTTTTGATTGAAGTAAGGTCGATTTACCATGCAGTTAATTTATGTACAGCTGAGTGATTCCGTTGTACATATATTTCTTCTCATATTCTTTTTCATCCTAGGCTATTATCAGGTATTGAACGTAGTTCTCTGTGCTGTGGGGTAGGACCTTGTTGTTTATCTGTTTTATACATAGTAGAATCTGCAAATCCTGAACTGACCTAAACAAACATTTCTCCGGTGAAGCAGTGTTCATAGTTCTTGAATAGAGTTATGACCTTCTATGGCCAGATTCCTCCCTAGCAGGTCCCAGCCCTGTGCCCTGTGAAACATGTTCCCAGAGCAAAACTGTCTTGAAAGAGGCCAGACTTCTTAGAGATGCAGGTGGACTTTTGTGTGTGTTTGATTTGGGCTGCCCAACATCTGAAACCCCTTCTAGGCCTAGGGCATTTCTCACTGTATGTTTTGGAGAAGGGCTCAGGACACACCTTCATTCTGAGATGGTGGAGAGTCTGTACGTGCCCTTTTCTGAGCCCTGGCAGTCAGGCCATGGAGACTTGCCAGGCAGGGGCAATTGCTTTGCATCTATACCAAACAAGGCAAAGAAGCAGGAGTGGAGAAATCATATTAGAAGCAGCTACCCTCAGGATCCCGGGACAGGAGTGCCTGTGGGGCCAGTGCTCCTGGGAAGCAGAGGCCACACCAGACGTTTCCTGGGGTGTGATACTGCCTGAGGTCCTGTGTCTGAGCATCCCTGAGCATTCTTTGGTTTCTAGTGAAAATTGTCAAGCCTGGTTGTCCAATCTGTGCTACGATCTGAGAGCTGTTGGCTATCATTTTAATAAATTCCTTTTCTGCTGAATTTAGATGGGGATCATTTCTGTGGTTTGTAATTGACGGCCCCGAGGCATTCATCTCTGTCTGCTGCTGGATCGCTGTGTGCTGGCCACTGATATAACAGCGTTGCCTTAAAAGCGTCGGCCAGGCGTCTCAGTGTCCAGGCCGCTGGTCACTGGCGTGGGGTCTCCTGTCTAATGCTGACCCATGGCCATGCATCTGTCCTTCTGCTCTTCCTTTTCTGAAATATCGTCTTCAGGCCGGCCCCTGCATGGGCCAGCCTCTCCATTCACATGCAGTGCCTCAGAGCTCCTGGTTATTAAGTGAATTGGATGTAGGTTCAGTGACCTGAGCCCTCTCTGTGCTGGGCTCTGACCTGGGGTCCCTTGGCCATTTGTCAGAGGCACATCTGTCCTCATGCCCCCAATTAACTCAGTACATGTGTCTTTGTAAAGTGCCGGTGTGCGCAGAGGCAGGCAGTGTGTCCAAGTCCCACGGACATTCGAGAACCATTCATTCTGCCCCTGACAGTTCCAATTCTAGGTCCTGCCGCCAAGTCCAGCAAAACGGGGAGACTTTCTGGGTAGTAACTTTCTGGGTCCAGCTTTGGCTTTTGGATTTTCTGATCTTTTTTTATGCTTCTTTTGGAGGCTATATATGTGAGGTGGGGTGGAAAGAGAAGAGGTGGGATGGGAGGAGTAAAGGTTAATTATTTTTTAAGGTAAAAACTTTGAACTTTGTGAAGTTATCCTTCTACATGTTTCTGAGCACCAAGAATGTCACATGTG